CAGCTATTTGGAATTTTTGTCCAAAGTGTTTGGCTTGGGGAGGATTCCTTTGGACTTGCCACATCCACCTAAGGAGTGGCCGGATTTTTTGCAGTGTGTGCAGTATTCCGGCAGCTGTTCATAAATGACAGGTTGCCAGAATCCCCTACCACCGTGGTTGATGAAGAATTTGGATGGTGTCTCCTTGGTGACGTCGAGCTCAACACAGAATCGGGCTACAAACGGTTGGATTTTTGCTGAGGTTGAGGCATCTAGCATGAGAGGTCTGCCAAAAATGTTGGCAATGGAATGTAAGGCATCTCTATCGTGCAGATGGACCGGTAGCTGTTCAAGAGAGATCCAGACTGGGAAGATGGGACTCTCTTCATCACTTTTGAAGTCTGGACTCCATTTGGTGACCTCCATTGGAGAACCTTGGATATTCCATAACCGTTTTGCAAAGCATCGCCTCTAATAGTCTAATCATCCGGGTTATCGAAGGTGATGAGTACATGTGAGGTTGGAAGAACTCCTATAGTAAAGGTTGCGTTGAAGCCAATACATTCAAGGATTTTTTCGATGGTTGAGAGAGATGGCCGACTTTTGGGGAATCTGCCAACAAGAGAAAACTTATAGGGAGAGGAAAGAACTTTGATTTCTTCCGGAGTGAAGGTAATTGCAGGGAAGCCTTTGTGAGAGGAAGTGGAGGGGGTTGAGGAGGCTTTGAGAGAGGAGGGAGCAGTTGGCCATGGAGCATGCAAACGTGGAGTGGGGAGGTGCTGAGTGCCGGCTATGGTTGCTGGAGTAGCTGCATTTCGGGTTGACACCGGTGGTCCCTCTGTCGTTTAGGGGGGGGGGAGGGTTTTTAGAGAGAGAAGCCATCGATATATATATATATGTATGTATGTATGTATGTATGTATGCTGAGAGTAACATCAATGGTCGCTGATTAAAAACATTGTTTGCAATAGGAATAGACAAAAAAGATTTGAGTGCTTTGGGTGTGCTTGTTATGCATGATCTCTTTTTTGTAGGCACTTGATTTAAAACCAAATTATGTGCGGGCATGGGCGAACATGGGCATTAGTTATGCTAACCAGGTACTCTATGTTTGCTTCTATGACAATTCGTTCCTCTGAGACGTAGTGGAGATGACTAAAACTGTTAGGATGTAAAAATTCAGGGTATGCACGAGGAATCCATTCGTTATTATGTCCGTGCATTAGGAATGAATCCGAAGGCTGATAATGCGTGGCAATATCTGAGAATATCTTTGAGGTACGTATATCGCATGAACACAAGCATAACTACATTAGACAGTCCTTGAAATAACAATTTCATGGTCACATTTTTCAGTTGTGCATCACGGAACGATATGGTCAATGCCTGTGACTCACGAAATCTTGATGCTCTCCAGAAAGAGTTCCCTCTATAAATAAAAACACTACAGGTGTGCCATGCATGTGAAGTTGTAATTTCATCAATAATTGTTGATATAATATTCGTTGATAATATTTTGCATAATTGTTGTTCATGACTTGTTTGGAGGCAGAAGTCATACCAATATGGTGAAAACCCATATAGAAAGAATTACGTGAAGAAGGATTTACTTGCACCACTTTCAAATATGGGACCAACATAAATTGTGAGATGTACTTTGGTCGATTCGAGCTATATATGTGAAGGGGATCGTGCGGTTGGAGTGGGGAGAATGTCAGCCTTGTACGTTAATAATTGTCAACAAAAATAATGAATGAAATGATATTTGATATCACACACAACACGCATGTATGGACATGTTGCCCAATTCGTTGCAACCCTTGTAGCATATATTTGCTCCCTTCTTAAAAGATTGCAACGGGCATTGTTACACTATTAACACTCGTATTTTATCGTCTTTTGTAATTTACATGTACGGAAAAGTATAGCCATGCATGTCTCCATATAATCTTTAGCCATATCCACTGTTTAGATTTTTTTATAAAATTGAATTGAAGATATTAATTATTTAAATTGTGATTCGGTAATCGTGAAACTTCTAAAGTTGTACGGAGTATTCCGTAATTATTCAAGAAAAAAATATTTAGACTACATCGATTTTACGAGTCCCAATCTACATTTTTATGTGATAACCTATTACTTGTCTCTCGGCTTTCGGTTTTTTCTCTTTTCTTTTGATTTTCCAAGACAAGTTATATATTGTACAGCCAATCATATCTACTTTCCTTTATAGTACTTCCTTCATTCTAGGAACACCGTCACAACTATTATTCTAGACTCTTTATAACATTTGTTTATTTGTGTAGAACTTTTGTTGTATCTTTTGAATATGTAATTTGTAAACTTTATTTATGTATCAATTTGTATGAACGAATAAAATGATTTTGAAAGTGAAGTGATTTTACACGTTCTTTGAAGTGTGACCATAACTTTGAGACGGGGTATAAAGTTACCTTAGAAGTGTCTCCAAACATTAATTTTATAATCTGCATGCTTTGAGTGTTTGTAAAAATAATAATTTAGGATTTTCTACAATTTAATTCAAAGATCTCATGTTTATCTTTTCATGGATTAGAAGTGTTATTAACAACGAAATAATAAGTTCTTTAAGCAATAAAATGAGCATTATGAAATTATCAAATGCATATATCAGTTTCAAAATAGTTTCAAAATGCATTATGGAATTATGGAGTATTATAAATTGGATGCTCAAGTACTTGGAAAAAGATGAGTAAGATGAGTGCCGAGTAAATTTCACCCATGGTATACGAACTTTCATCATTATTTCACTTTGGTATATAAATTTTAATTACTATTACAAAAGTACACGAACTTTCAATATTCTTTCACCGGTGGTCCAATATGCGGTTTCTAAGTCACCTTCAGGTCATTTGGGGTCAAATTATAATTTTATAAATTTAAATTTTATGAATTTGATCCCTTTTTTTCTTTTGGTTCTCCACCCTTTTCTTCATCTTTTTCAACACCCCCCATCCCCCCTCCATTTTTTTCTTCTCTTCCTCTTCCAGCCCCACCCCCCACCCCCACGCCACCCGCACCATCGTGCCTAAAATTGAGGCTCTTGATTATGATTTGCCAGTGGAGAACATGTTTTCACAACATATGGGACGCTGGAAGAGGGGATTTAGAGCACACACAATGCCGATCTAAAATGCATTGGGTCCTGGAAAGTTCAAGGGAAGTTTGAATTACTGTATTTCTGTCATGTTAAATTAAACTACATGAATGGAAAGAAGTCTATACCAGTTAATCCACGCCCTAAATTGTAATGTAAATATGTACTCCCTCCGTCCCAAATTGTAATGACTGTTCACTATTCACAGGGTCAAACTTCATTCACTTTCTTTCTCTATTTTCGTTAGCAATTTGATAAAATAAAATACTATTGTCACTACTAGTTTTGTAGATTTTTTGATGTAGCATTTTAATATGTAATCTTTATTTTTAAATTTTATACCATTTGTCATATAAAATGATTTGAAAATAATTACAGTCAAACATCGTAAACTGAAACAGGCACTATAAATTGGGACGGAGGGAGTAACTTTTTTATGTTCAGTCAAAGCCCTCGAAGATGGTTTTCTTGCTTTTCATATCCATTGTGATTATTTAGCACTCAAAACTTGCAATCAGTGTGTGTATATCACACCAATTTCAATGCAAATGTGAAAATAAACTCTGGCTTACACAATGATAAACGAAGCCAAGAGGCCTTCAATTTTTTTTATTCAACGGAGCATTTGTTTATTTTTATTAATTTTTGTGAAAATAAATTCAGGGTGACATAATGATAAACAAAGGCAAGTGGGTGGGGTGGGGGTGGGACTCGAAGAGGAAGAGAAGAAAAAAATGGAGGGGGATGTGGGGTCTTGAAGAAGATGAAGAAAAGGGTGTAGAATCAAGAGAGAAAAAAAAGAAAAGGAGTCGGAATCATAAAATTCAAATTTTTAAAATTATAATTTGACCCCAAATGACCTGAAGGTGACTTAGAAACGCTTATTGGACCACCGGTGAAAGAATGTTGAAAGTTCGTGTACTTATGTGATAGAATTTCAATTTATATACCGAAGTAAAATAATCATGAAAGTTCGTATACCATGGCTGAAATTTACCCGATAAGTGTCATATGATATCTATGTATTTGATGGATCTACATTAAAATAGGTTGATATTGCATTAAAACATTTATGATTTGGGCGTACGTACCGGTCCATTTCTGTTGTTGGAATGAAGTGTTCGGGTGTGTATTTATTAAAACTTTGTTTTTATTTCTACATCAATGATTTTTTATAAAATGATCAAATTTGTTTCTATTTCTCAAAGTTTTATGTATAAATACAATTTTTGTGAGTTGATAGAACTGAAAAAAATCAAATTTGTTGAGAAAGAAATAAATCCTAGAAAATAGAATGCTATTAAATCATTTAAGGACACGAGAATGATATTTTTAAACACTAATAAAAATAATAAAAAAGTAGTTTGTGTGTGTGTGTATTTGTCTGTGCATTTCAAGGAACATATTTTGTACTTTGCATGTTGTTTGAAATTTTAGGCGCTCAAAAATAATTAATTTGAATTATCTCTTAATTTGAAATTTTAGGCGCTCAAAAACATACTCCTTTTAATCGTATCTTAGTTCTCAAGATAAGTTTTTCATTACCATCTAAATAACTACTTAAAATCTAAAACCAGAATCAAATATTAGTTACAATTCTTTTTCTATTGCTCAAAGGTGAGATTATTACTGTGAATATTTTTTTTTATATTTGGTCAACAGGTATAAAAAAAATAAGAATTGATGAGTTTAATATATAGATGGATGAGTGACTATCACTCTCCTCCCAAAAACCATTTTCTATGTTTCCCAACATACACAAATACAAGAATTAAAACGAGGGACCATGCTATTTTGACATGTCAAACTAATTCTACTTTCATTATACAATATAGCTCTGTCCCTACTTGTTTTGTAATACTTAATTTTTTAAAATATATTTTTAATTCTACACCAATATTTACTCGTATTAATTTGAAAATAATATCAAACTTCTGTCGGCCAAAAATGCAAGGCGAACGCAAGCATCTGGTCATTATTAAAAGGATATGTACTACTAAACAGTAAACACCCGCTTGAAAATAGAAAAGAAGCCATACATAACATAACATGGCTATGTTTTATTCAAGATACAGTGTTCAACAGAGCGAATATTACTAAGTCGATATTAGGGGGGACATCTTCTTCATAACTAACTAGCGGGTAATAAGATCCATGACAACTCGCTTTATGCTTCCACCATTCTTCTTGAGGAGTTCCTTGTTCACCTCCTTGTCAGAAAAGCCCTGGTGGTTGGTATTCATAGGAAGGAAGAGATTAAAGCTCGGATGTAATTCACATGTAAAATGACTATTATGCCCATTTAAGATTTTAACATACCATCTCCTCCAGCTCCTCAAGGATAGGGTCCCACTCGGAAACACCGCATAGATCATTAACTGACTGCTCTAGGTCGTACTTATTCAACCTCAATATCTCCTTGTTCAGATCAACCTGTTTAAAGCCCATCCCCTCGAGTTCCCTTAGGAGGGACAGCTCCACCTCACTGTTGTTTTCGTTGACACCCTGCGCAGGTTCAACCACATTTATATGAGGAGGCATTGGTGCAGGTGCAATGGCGGGCGCAACACTGGACACATCAACCACATGATACGAAATTGAAGAGCCTCCTCCTCCTCCTCCAGTTGTTGCTGGAAGAGCAGGTTGTCCTTTGCTGTCAAAACCAGCAATCAAGCTGTCCGTTATGGGGAAGTTCACTTCCTGCTCCTTCATTGAACTTGCCCCTTCAATAACAGGTCCAACCAACTCCGCGGCATTGCAAGAGAGTATAGGCTCTGGGTGGCTGTCTCCAACAACTGGTTCTAGATTCACATCAATCATTTCAGGAATTATTAAACTGCTGCTGGCAGGCGGGAGATTCAAGTTAAATCCACGAAGATTCTCGGGGGCTGGGTTTGTTCTCACTGGTTCCTCTGTAGAAGCAACAACCTGCAAAATATAGGAATAAGATTTTGATTCAAGAGGGGGGCACATAGAATATGCTAATTGTACTCCAGCACATCTGTTACTTGCAAGATTGTCTAACCTGGATTAGAACCCAAACACGCTGGCCAAATTTTTGGCCTAATGGTGAGGCCATACTCCAGTACGAAATATATCGGCCTGGATTATTAGGAGCAACAAAATCAACTGCCACGTCAAGCTCTTTATCAACAGGGAAGCCAGCTGCAGTTATCTGGCAACCAGAAGAAAGAATAAGTAATAATAACTAAACAACGCAAAAAAAAAATAATTCCCCTTCGATAAACAAACACAGAGAAGTTGAATGTAAAATAATCTGTGTAAGACGACTGAGCTCAACTGAGAGCAAATTAAGAAATCAAAATATCTCACCTCCAAGTCAACAGACATCACATCACTTAGTATATCCCCGCCGATCCACACAAGTTGGGTGCCTTTGGGCCAGAAAGTATTACCATTGTTCCTGATCCTCCAAATTTTGGTAAATTGAGTTGATGGTGTGATTATGGTACCATCCAGAATATTGACATCCTCTACAAAGCTGCTGTCATGTTTTGGTCGATTAGTTTTTACCCCAATTCCCCGATACATGTATGGTGGATGCACCCTGGCATGCTGTAGATTGAAGAGCATATTTGAATGAGAGAAGGCTAAGTAACATTACCAATGATATTTAAACAGAGCTAAAGACAAACTTTCATAATGGATCACTTAAGACCCAGAAAGAACAAGGGTGCTGAATATTTACCGGGCGATCTATTCTGATATATTCGGTGTCACTGCAGCCCATTTTACAAAAACAGATAATACACAGGTCATAGTCATCTTTCCTACAAATATAAGACACAAATGTAACATCTTATTTTGAAATAATAGATAACAAATGTATTAATTCAAGTAGAATTGCAGTCACTAGTAGCTCACACTTTAGACTTGAATCTAGGGCCAGTAATTGGGTGGGCACCACAACCATCACAACAAACTCCCTTATGGAGTATTTTATTGGTACCAACAATGTGGCTATGGCTTCCTTCGCGAGGGACACCAAAGTGAACAGGTTGTGGCAATGATGGGTTGTCAGCTTTTTGGACACCTGAGAAATGACACCTATCCATAAATCCAAGACAATGTGGAGGAACTGAAGACAAACTACTATCATGAGAGATCTTCCTTGAATCACACAAGTACCCAATAGACTGCAACGGATTATCAGAACGTGTAGATCCACTCAAATTGATAGAGCCAAATCCAGTACAATCTCTACTATCGTTGTCTTTATTTTTAATAATAGAGGGAACACTAGACCTTGAGATTTCAAGAGCCTCTCTAACTAGACCACTATCACCAAATTTTTTACCATAAACACTACTTCGGGCATCAGCCTTGAACATTGCAGGTTCAGGATCTCTTACTGCAGATCCAATAAAAGCCTCGCTTTCTGGTGCTGTCGTAAGGCTAGGTTCGTTAGGTTTTTTCACGGGTGCCTCAGTAGGTTTCAAGACCACATTTACAGCATGTGGAATTCTATCAACGCATGACTTATTTTCAGTCACACCACTAGCATTTTGAGGAACTAGCTTCTGTAAGTGAGGCTCTGTGTTACTCTGAGTCTCAAGGAGTTGGTTTAGATTGCCCATCTTTGAAAATGCTTCAGCAAGCTCAGAAATGACAGGAGGGGCAGAAGTTGTAACTTTAGAAGCCATGTCAGCAGACAGTTTAATGAGTGTTTCATGTAATTGCTTTGTCCCTGCCTTAAAATGCTCAGAAATACCCGTACTCCCGTTCTGAAATGAAGGCTGCATGATGGGGAACCTCTCATTATTCAATTTCACTGATATTCTCAAGGGATCCAGCTCCTGCCTGACAACATCTTTTAGGTCATCATCATCTGCTAATGTTATTTCATCTCCATCCTCATCAATATATGTAAGAGTAATCTCCGCATCACATGGAATTTTGAAAAGATGAAGTATTTTCTGCTTCAGTTCATTTATGTTAAGGCAAATACTCTTACAAACAACACGCGCATTGAAACGTCTCATTGTTTCTCCATACTTGACCTAAATACATAGATCCAAAAAAAAGTAAATATTAATAAATAAGCAACGTATTCAAAACCAGACCAACTGTTGGAACCAATAAAGATATTGGTTCAGTGGTCGGATGGGATCAGAAAAGAAGTCATACAGTTGAACGAGTATTAATAAGATAGTATTTCTTAAATTTGATCCACACACTCACATGCATGGCAGAAAAATAACACTATGCTAACATATATTAATAACATTTCCGCCAACATCCCATGGACGTTGATTAGAAGAGCCCCAGAGCATGTGTTACTGTATAGCAAAGCCACAGACATATGAGAATTAGATGCTTTACAACTGCTGGTTGGGATGGATCCAATGATGACAGACGACCTAAGATTGGTTAGTGTCTATGTTGGTCAACATTTAGTAACATAGAGATGTGAAAAATCAATATATTGTGCTAAGACACAACCCACATGCGATGCAATTTGAAAACATCACTACTAAATCAAACTTTACTTAAAACAACAATACCTGTTATGTTGCAGCACAACAATCAGGCTATGATACACATTGCATCTAGTTCAATCTTTCATTAGAGAACAAATCATGTTGAACTCAACAGTCATTTTGTTCGAGAAAAAAAATATTGTTTCTATTTGATAAGTACATGTATGAAATTTATTTCTCACAAAACCAAATGGGGTTCGCATTGCTCAGTTCTGAAATAAATACATGTTACTTGAGGGAGAATATCGTATGTAGTTGTAACCCTAAACCTAATCCTAAGAGTCTTAGTCCCAACTAATTCAGTTTAGCAGCCCTCTAAACTGATAAACAGAAAACAGAAATCTAGAACAAGAACTTATTGGAAATCCTTCTCCAATTAATTGAAAAACTTTGAATGCATAAAATACAGAGAAACTATCCCTATTTATAGATGAGTTAACCTTGTCCACCAAGTTAAATCATCAGCCTTGCTCTCCAAGCATAACATCTCCTACTCCTACAAGCTATGGTAATCTCAAATCCATCTGAGATATATCTCCTAAAATTATGACTGACTCTACCCTAATTATTAACAAATAAAGACTTCAACATAATTACAAAATAAACCCCCTAACTATTACTGAATGTCAAGATTGGTCCAACAATCACCCTCCCAATCTTGACCTTGAGTCTTCTTTTACTTCTTTGAGTCCTTCGAGTCTTCAATCCTTTCTACCCCAAGAATCTTTCTCATTTCAGCAAACTTCAGCTTTGGCAGTGCTTTTGTAAGAATATCAGCCCGTTGTTGATCTCCGCTGATGTGCTCAACTTTAATCTGCTCCTTTTCAACACACTCTCGTATGTAATGATACCGCGTGTTGATA